ATTGGGCTCAACTACATTTGAGTCTAATCATCTTTGGGTCTGTTTGGGTGTAATTGTCCTTTGATCCCATTCAAAATGTTTCTTGTGCTTTTTTAAAATGAATTTATGTGTGGTTCAGGTAAGTTGAGTTCATTTTTTTTGTGTAAGACTGTCAACAGAAAACCTGCAATACAAACTAAGGCATTATGTTTAAAAGATGAGGCAGGGTCCGATGAAAGATGCAACTGGGTTACATTATGTGAATTGTAGAATAAAGCAATTTTGACCCACTGTTCTGATTACTGTATTACTACTCCTTAGGCTCTGTTTTGATCTATCTTATATGTAAATGGACTGAGCACCAATAGTGGTGGGTCCGTATGCTTCCAAGAAATTCAGTATGCGTTGCAGATGCATCAAGTTAATGACATTACCTCCCTGTCAATGCTAACGTAGTCACTTTCCTCCGTTAACTTTACTAAGTACTTCCATCCTCCAGTCCTGTCTTTATCCTCCCACATATTCACTGACTTCCTGTTTCAATTATCCACTTCCATCTCATTCACTAACGGCAGTCCTGTATGACTGGCTGTTTTGGCAGCTGCTAGGTGTGAATCTGCACAAGGCTTGTATTATTATATACTAAAAACTGGGTTTGGAGTCTTTGCAAAGGCTATCAAACTGCTGTCAAATATATTGCTTCAAGCCCTGCCGGGGAAGCTCCTTTGAAAGCATGCTTTGCAAGCTATCAATTACTTCACACTGGAAGAAGTGGAACTACAGCAAAGGGAGAAATCTAGTTTGGTAAACTAAAACTACTTAGAAAACGTGTGACATAATAATACATAAAGGTCATACATAAACCAATAAATAAAATACCTCACTATTTATTGGAAAGTGCAAAAAATGTCAGAATGTCGTTGGTTTCAGTCAGACACGGTCTTCCAGGAAGTCAGAAAGTCCCTGTGGGAGTTTTGGACCAAGAAGGATCCATCCGTCCATGAATCCATTGTCTACAACCACTTATCCTTATCCGTAGACCAAGCAGGATGTAACTTCTAAAATAGCATTGCAACAACTTAAACATTTGTTGATAAATAGAAATAATCAACACTTATGACTAATTGACACCTTATATATTCAAGTTTATTTTTACAAATACAGATATTTTTTCACAGGTGAGCTGACAATATCCAGCTTAGAGAAGCTTTGTAATTTCAGTAGTTATCTACACAAATGTAATTTTTTTGGGATGAGAAGATTTAACCTATTAATGACTATTGACTATATTTAACTAAAAAGTATGTTTGAAAAACCTACTTATGTATAAATACACATGACCATTTTGATTTTTTTTATTGATTTGATTAAGTCAGTTAGTACTGTAAACACTGTAAATTATACAATTCCACCATGGACATTATTGGGTTAAAAAAGTCAGGTGAGTCAATTAACAGGTGGTGAATGAGTAAAACCTTGGTCTGCACGCACTGCTGGTGCCGAATTCACTGCTTTGTTTTGACTGACCCAATTTTCCTGTATGAGAGTTTTTTATGTTTTGTTTATAGGTCGCTGCTGGGTTTATTTTTCATATTGCAGCAATCCACAGCAACAATGTGCTCTTATGCTTAGACATGGACAGGCAGAAACAAACATTTTATAATAAGAATGCACAAGAATGACTTAATGACAAATGAGCTTTAATCTCCTAGTTAACCTGCAGAGGACTTAAGTTGTGTACCTAACACTAGATGGCAGTCTTAGCCTTAATGGGAAGTTATTTCATTGACAACTCAGGCAGGTTTGATTTGGCAATGCCACACTATGTGTGTGTGTGTTTACGTGAGGGTTTGTGCACTTACAGCTGTGTGACCGGTCAATTCTGTCAAGCTGGGATCTGAAACATATCAACTGACACATTGTTGACAATGATGACAGATAAAGCTCTCTCTCTCTCTCACACACACACAGATTACACCACATTACACTCTAGTTGACCCCCATATTGAGAGTCTGAACAAGGAGTGTTGGTTGGTTTGCCACAGTTATCAGTGGGAAGTGGTGTGAGCTTCATATGTCTATTAAACCTATTATATTATTTATCTGTCCAAAGGATTTAAAAGTCACGCTAACAAACCTTGACAGATTTCTGCCTTTGCTCCCATTTGGACAAAACTTAAAGCTGGATTCAGTTCACTGTCATCTCCTTTTTTTCAAAATAAATAGCCTCCGGGGTAGAGATTACTGTACCGACCCTTCTCTGGAGCCACACATACTGTCCAGACCCTGAGCTCATTTATTTATCATGGACTGTAATCTTAAAATATTGTGCCACACTTAGTTTGGTTTGTCTATTCCCAAGCCTAAACACACAGATATCTTTAAACAACCACTGTGTAGGATTTATTTTATTTGGGCAAATGCCCCTATTTAGAGTCAGTGTTTGGTTTGCTGTTTGTATATTATTGTAACAAAAACATATGGATTTGTATATTCAGGCGATTATACCCTTATGAAAATATATGAATATTATATTCAGTTTTTGCCAATAGATCATCCCAAATGTTACACACTAGAACTTTAAATGTTTCATTAGTTAGAAATGTTTTATCCTGTTGTTGTCTTGGTTAACTGGTAAACCAGTCAGACACTTTTGTAGTCAAACCAAAACTTACAAAGTTCCCTTTTCTTTCTTACCAGTTCTCCTAAAGAGCAGATTCTTCCTGCCGATTTATTCACAAAATCATAAATAAAAGTTTTCATAGCCTGTAATTGTGGTTCTGGAACTTATGTCGACAAGCAATGCTATATAGTACCAGTTAAAACCTATCCTACTTTACCATAACATACCACACATTATATTGGCACTTCAACTAATCACTGCCCAGCACTGTCCCTGTTTTTGGCTTAATTAAAGCAACAACAAACATTCATTTTTTGTTGATTCTGGCATCCTGTATGGTCAAAAGTGGTCATATTTCCACTTCCTTGTGTCACTGATTTCAAGGGGAATCCAACCGAATCCGACCAGGTGGTAGGCATTAAGAATATCCATATAGAAATAGCCAGTCTTCTCGCTGATGGTCTTGTTTGTTTATGTAGCGCATACTATATATAGCAGTATCAGTATTACATTTACACTGTTACATAGCCAGTTAGGTTTAATAAATTATTTAGTCTATAAACTGTCAGAAAACAGTGAAAAATGCCCATCATAAGTTACCAGAGCCCAAAAAATCGTATTGCTGTCTGTCTATCAGTCCAAAATCCAAAATATTGAGAAAAAAGTGAATTCTTACACAAGCTAAATAACCTTGATAAATGGCTTAAATGAGTAATTTTTAGAAAGTAATAAAAAAGCTCAAAATAAAAAAATGGATAAATGAAGAGAGTAAACAAATTAATTTTCAGCTAATTTTGGCCTCAGTGTTGAGTATTGGCTGCTTTTATTGGTCTTATATGATGTTAAACTAAAAATTCTTTGGACCGGTGTTAAAACAAAACAATCACTTTAGGCTCTAGGAAATTGTGATAGGCACTTTTCACCGTTTTACTAAAATTGTATCGAACAAATGATTAATTGAGAAAATAATCAGCAGATTAATTCATAATAAAAATAATCATTAGTTGCAGCTCCAATTGCTTGAATACTGTCCCACCCTATCGCTCCGTCCTTCAAGGGATAAGGAGTGAGTGTATTTGTGGATCTCTGTGACGTGCAGGTCTGCACAGACTGTATAATGATGGTCTGCACTCACACAAACATATTTTTGCTCTTTAAAAGCTAGAAGAAGCTGTTAATTTACAAAGGTGGAAGAAATACTCATATCTTTTACTTATATAAAACTACTACTTTAACTTAAGTTAAAGGAGAGTACTATTAGCAAAATGTACCTAAAGTATCAAAAGTAAAAGTACTAATAAGCAGAAATGGAATATAATGTTCATGCTTTCATTAGTGTATAATCACCTGAAAATAAGAATTGTTTTTCTCGAATTAGCTTGTCTTGAGCTCTGTTATCTACAGAGGGAGTGCATCCTCCTTCATGGAGTCCACCAGTTTGCATCGCCATGTATCTACAGTAGCCCAGAACGGACAAACCAAACACTGACTCTGTTACAAGTGATAAATAATAATATTAACTTTATTTATGTTACACCTTTCAAAACATAGTTATAAAGTGCTTAACCATAAAAAGTAAATAATAAATTAAATAAAATCTAAAAAGTAAGATATAAAACAAAACAACATAATTTTAGTAATTTTAATAAATACCATCAGCCTAGAAAAGGTACAAGTCGTGTAGTATAGTATTTGCATCAATACTAAAAAACTAAGTACAAACACTTAAATTACTTATTATGCTGTGGATTAATATATATTACTGGATTATGATTAGTGATCCCTTAATAATGTGCAAGCATCACTTTAATGTTGCACTCTCAGCAACTAAATATACTGCAGTGCAGCTTAATGTACTATAATAATAGGCTACATAAGATAAGATAAGATGTTCCTGTATTGATCCCCCGACAAAGGGCAAGTGTAGTGCAAACAGCAAATATAATAAAACTAAATAAAAACAGAATAAAAATAGAATAGAATATATAAAATATATACACTGTATACAATAAAGTTGATTATGGTCCAGTTGGATAACTGTACATGTGCAATGTTACAGGGTATTGTGCAATACAAAAGAAAAAAACAAGTTGTGCTTAGCAGGTTAATGGGTACATCATAATTTATTAGTCGATTTATATTTTGTATTAATGATCTGAATTTTAAAAGTAAGTAATGTTGCTAAACAACTGTAATAGAGTAAAAGTAGGCTGCATGAAATGGAAATACTCAACAAGTAGCCTACCTCAAAATTAGTTCTTGAGTAGGCTAGTGTACAACCTGCAGCGGGCATGTTTTCACATGTTTAAAACTCTCATTGCTAGTGTAAACTACTGTCAGAAGGTGTCCGACCCCGCCACCCTTTGACCCCAGCAGCGCCTTTAATCTGCAGGGAGGAATGAGAGGCATTCTTCAGCTGCTCACAGGAGGAGGAAGAAGAGGTGGGAGGGGAAGTTACGACGTAGTAGCGACACAGTCAGTCAGTGAGTGAACTAAGTTTCCAGCGACTCAGCCATCACGGTCTGAAAAACTTTTTAGTTTTTGTTGTTGCGATATGAACTCCCTCGGCGGCTGCTGGTTGGGTTTGTCCGGCGGTAGAAGACCTTGATAGTCGGGTTGTTGGGGGGCAGCTCGGTGCTCCGGAGAAGCAGAATATGGGTCAGACGGCGGTGTCTGCCGTGTCTCAGTCTGCGAGCGGTGAGTGTGTGTACTCCCTCCCTCCCTCTTCTCTCTCTCCCTCACACACACACACATTCCGCTATCTTTACTCAGTCTGCTTTTTTGTTGTTGCTGTTGTTGCTTCTCTTCCTTCTAAAATCTCTTTCGGATAATTTACCGACACTTTCACACAGTTGAGCCCCAAAACAAAGCGCTCACTTGTTAAACGCAAATAGGAAGTTAGCCGACTGGATGTAGTGTAATTCAAACGCACTTGCATCATCATCCTGTCAAATGTATCGCTGCTTGTGTGAGTGAAGTAGTAGCCAGTGTTAAAGCAGGATGTGTTGTGCAACCAAAGAGTTGTTTATGAAGCGGCAGTGTTGCTGGGAAAAAATGCACTGCTTGGTGTGAGTTTATGTATTTAGCCAGCCAGATGAAGTGAAGGAGAGCAGCTTAAAGTTTTTAAGCGGTTTGTTTTTTCCTTGAAGAGACCAGAGTGTGTGTGTGAAGCCCGCCCAGCTCAGTGGATGTACATTTAATTCACAGTAAGGAACCTATTAAACCAAGACAAGATCATGTCTGTGTGTCAACAAGTGGGCATGCAAAAGTCAGGAAATGCCCTCACATGGTTTGAGGGTTGTGAGAGAGCAAGTGAAAGAGATGCTGGAGTTCACCCTAGAGCTGCAGCTAATGGTTATTTTAATGATCCATTAATCTGCTTATTGTTTTTGTGACTGTATGATTGAGTGCTTGGTGAGAAAACTGTGAACAAATGCCCACAATTTCCCACAGAGGCCAAGAGGCTGTCATTAAATAGCTTTTTTTTTTGTGTAGAACAGTGCAGAACCACAAAATGTTGAGTTCACATTTATATAAATGAGAAAAAAAAAAAGCAGCAAGTGATCACAATGGAAGGGCAGGAACACAAGAACATTTTCACATCAACATCTCCAACTCAAGATTGTTTCTTTTTGTCAATTACTATGGTGATTATTTTCTCAATTAAAAGATTCATTAAATTGTCAGTAAATAGGGAAAAATGCACCATTTTGGGAAATTCCATGATGACGTCTGACCAAGAGTCCAAAACCAAAACCACATTTTCATACGAGAGAAAGAAAAACAGAAAATCCCTGAATTAGTTAATTATTTTGACTCAATGTTTCAGGTCCAGTTGTATAGATCTTTATTTCGGTATTCTTTCCGTGTTTAAGACATACAAAAAAACACTCCAAAAAGTAAAAAGTATGCCAGTGTGAACAATCATATGCCTTTTAATGTATTTTTAATCTCAGTTCCTGTGACTGCTGGGAATGTTTCACACCTGCACCACGAAGCGAATGCAAATGACTGCAGTTTATCATCACACGCAATAGAAAACCAGCAATTCAGTACGCACCGCATGACTTTTAACCACTGCTTTAGAGGAACAATGTTTTTAGCCTAGAGATTGGTGACAAAAGTAAAACCTGCATAAAGTGTCTCCTCCTAGTACTCCTTGACATAGATTCTCCAGTTCTCTGAGGAACAAACACCGTTCTTCCAAAAGATGTTCTCTCATTTGGTGTGTTGATGATGGTGGAAAAGAGCAATGTCATAAATGTCGGTCCAGAATCTCCCAGATGTTCAGGTGGATCGAGACCTGTTGACTTTGAAGGTCATGATTCACATCATTTTCATATTTGTGAAACCACTCATTCATGTCCTGTATTGGGCTACATAGTGAACCTCAACTTTATAGGCATCTGCCATTGCCTTGCCTGTTATCTTGTTTACTTCTTTGATCGGACATCTCCTGATTAAAACAATAATTTTGCCAGCTGACAAAACCAACTGTCCACTCCATAGCTGTCCTTGTGCTTTTGATCATAGCACACTGTCTTCCTCAGCCAAGGGAGCTGCCCAGTTGTGATATCCACGAGTTCACCTGCTGAGGAAGAAAACATCACTACACACATAGTAATCAAAGACCGCAGAGCAGAGGTCTCATACATTGAGCTAAATAGACCTTTTTCACAGCCGCCATTGAAACAGTGCATTAAACAGTGTATAAAATGGTAGGATAAACACTGGTGTTATCAGTGATGCTAATTAAGGCTCCGTTCCATTCAGGTCAAACAGTCAGGGTGCTGCTATTGTGCATGTTGGCTCACTGGAAAGGCTCTGCTAAAAATGTCTACTGTGAAAAAAGGTCTAACACAAACCACACTAATGGTAACTGAAGGTACTAGCTAATAAAAACAAAAACAAAAGCATGGACGCATCACAAGCCTTTTCACTCACTGGTGAAGCTACACAGAGTGACATAAAGCCTTAAAAGAGCAAATATGAGACTAAAATACACAAAGTTCACCTACAGCGCCTCAGTATCTCCGGTCTGTCCATGACGCATAAAAGTAAACATTTCACATGTTTTTTTTTTATGGGAACGCTCGAAGGCCCTGAGGTACAGGAAGTGGCGAAGGACTCCAGATGAAAACAAAGCTGGACCTCTCTTACGATGCTGTCAGCATTTAAATTAAAACTTAAACTGTATAGTAGCACACTTAAGCCACATGCACAGGAACCTGAGGCCATAACAATGATCTACATGCTCTGCATTACGGGTTACATAATGACGCTGTGATGTGCTTTAAATGCTGAATCTGCAGTAAGAGCAGGAGAGGGAAATGAGTTTCATTGAAAGATCATGAACATAAAAGTGATCCGCTCTGAGCCTTAATGAGTTATGGCTGTTTTGAATGTTGTGTCGAAAGCTTTGCTGTGTCAAAGCTCGAGTTTCCTCTTTTGATTTCAATCCAAGCTGCTAGGCCCTGTGAGTATCATGAGCTAAGCAGAACTGTGTTTTTCTGGCCTACACTGAAGAAACATTTGGAAGAAATGACCAAAGTGTTAAAACCGCAGCTAATGCCCAGCGTAGCCCCTCCCTCCACTCTCATCCAGCACCTCTTGTTGCCTTGTCTTCTTCCCCCCCCTTTTTTTTTCTGCCCTCCTCTTTCCCCCATTTTCTTTTGCCCCACCTCAGTTTCCACTTCTCCCTTTCTGTCTCCGTCTTCTCCTCTCTTTTGTCTCTCTCTGCCTCCTTCTCCTCCTTCATCCCTCTTCCTCTGTTGGTGACGTCTGGTTCTTCCCTCCCCGGTGACTTGCAGCGAAGGAAGGAAGCCTCTCCCTTTCCCCTCCTCCTCGACACATGTTCCTGCTATACTGTCTGGAAAAAAAAATCATGCTGGCTTTGTCACAATACAAAGCCAGTCTAAGCCTACATATGCCACCCAGACCATAGAGAATGATAGAACAACGGAACCAGAAGTTTAGTGTAGTTGCCCAGTGTGCCTCAGAACAATGATTACAGTTCACTCAACATATCCTGTGTGGGATTACTTCGCTGAGATATCTGTCGTGTCTCAAGTTGTGTTTCTGATGATCCCTACTCATTTCCACAGCTGCTATCCAAATCCTGACTCACCCTTCTAGCATGACATCTCAAGTCATCTGTTTCAAAATAAAACGGCTCAGTGTGAAACCCAGTGCAGAACGATGGAGCCGAGTCAGCAGTTGTAATGTGTAATAACATCACCTGAGGCGGATTGGAGCCACATTGTTGTAATTAAAAAGCTGTGTCCAATATTGTTTTGGTAAAAGTCCATGGCTTTTCTTGGACGGATCTGTCTTGCCTGAAAAGCAGGATTGCTGTAAAGCGGCAGATGTTTGCAGATCTCATGTGCAATGAATGGATTTTAACTGTCATAACTGACCCGGGTTTGATTCAACATAAAACGTACCTTGTATTGTACCTTGGTACCTTGTATCGATCAGCAGATTAATGACTGAAGCTCTGAATTGCTTTCATTTCAAGTTTATCTATTTTAGACTTTGAGATTGAGCTGTATTGTATTCTTTGGCCTGCTTTAATTATAGAGGTTTCATGCTATCACTTCCTTAGTTGCTTACAGTTTGTTACTTATTTACTTACTTCTGTATTTATATGTCAGGGGTTGGGGGTGTATGGAGGCAGGGTTGACATGATGTTGCCTTGTAGTCAGGGGGGTGTTTTATAATGCGGAAACGTTGTTGTTAAGGTTTGGTTAGGTCTAGACAAAAAAAATTGGATTAGTTAGGGTGAGAGAAAGATCATAGTTTTCATGAAAAGTAGTTGAAGGTAGAATGAGTGGGATTTGTCGGTTGTGGTTTGCACACACAGCACTCAAAGTTGGCCCCCCTCTCCCCTGGCTCAGCAGCACCGTAGCTTCCTCTTGGATGCGTGCTTATGTTCTGGCACACCCGCAGAGTAAAAGCCCATTTAATGTCCGGTCCAACCAATTCGGACATTTGTGTTGACACGTACAGCTCGTCTGGGTAGTGTCTGGAAAAAGTTCAGGATAGCGGTGCTTGTGTGAATACGGCTTAAGAAAACACACGTAGAGGGCAGGGTCTGTGCAGATACTGTAGCGGGTCATAAGTAATGGTGTCAGCCTTAAAGTGGTTAAGGTTGACGGTCAGTTTGAAACAGGAAACAAACATGATCTCTGCCCACCCTGACCTCCTCCCTGCGCGGACAAAATCACTGCTAAAAATGCCCCCAAAATCCTACACACTGGTCCTTGAAACAGAATTTTCAACACCATAACCCCCTTCACTTTTCCACCAGATTGGGAGAAAACACACAAGAGCTTTACTTTGGTGTTGAGCTGCTGCAGCGTTTAGTCACCGACAAACAGTCAGCACATTGACTGCTAAACCGGTAGCTGACAAGACTACTCACCTTTTAAATCTGCTCCCTTCGCATTCACACTCTCCTGCTCGCCTTTTCTCACTTGGTTAACCAGTGTTGCGCTAGGTACCACCCTGTGTTGTTATGGTATGCCACACTGTCAATCTAGTAATTGTTTTTTAATGTAGCGAGAGGTTATTTAAATGTACATTAAAATAATGGCGCCCGTAGCCCACAGTTTCTGTTGTAATTGAGGCTGGCAGTGAAAGCAGGGTCATTGGATGGTGTCTTCACATCATTTAACTGAAAGACAGTTGGATTAGTGTGAAGTTGCTCTTGTATGTTTGCAAATGAACACACACTCGTTGTGAATGTATGCGCAGCGTGTTTGTGTGTCATAGGAATGTAGGCTTAGTAAAATATCAATTTCCTGTATTGCAACATGTCGCTTGTCTTCCCCTTTACTTAAAGTTTGTCAAACCAGTGAAAGGTTTGTTCAGGAAGAAAAGCTGCAGATGATCATATATTTGTCTTCTGACCTGATCTGAGTCTCTCTCCTCCTATTTTCTTTTCTCTGTTCTTCTACGTTAACAGTAATCTTTCTTTCGCTCCTCTCCACTGTTTCTCTTTCCTTTCTCTATTTTCTCTTTCGTTCTCGTTCCTCTTCCCTGCAAGTAATAAATTCGTCCATTGTCCCTGTTTGGTTCCCACTAGAGGTTTAATAGTTGGGTTAATGGTGATGATTATCGCTGTTACTGGTTTTCCCATCATTAGCAGCACAACGCAGCTGCTGAAATGCACCTATTGTTGCGATTTGATATCAACACAGGAACAGGAAATGAGTGTTTGTGTGTGTGTGTGTGTGTATACAGTATGTGTATGTAAGAGAGAGAATTTAATTGGTGTCTGGAGAGAGCATGTACGGGTCTCTGCCCTGCACTTTTCCATGTCTTCTCTCTTGGTTTTTGTGCTTTTAATTGCAATGTTGTGTATGTTAATGTTGTTTTCTTGCTACATCCATCGGCTGTTAGGGTCACAAGGTAAGAAAATCCAGTTGAGAGCAATCATACCGACATAGATTTATGCAATGCTTTGATTTTAAAATACACACTTTAAGGAGAAAATGCTGCAGTAATGGCTTAATTGGATTTTATTGCTTTTCATTATTGCATTGCATTATTCCACTTTTTAATTTGAAGCTAATGAGATCTGTGTCTCGGCCTTAAACCTTATCTTTACACATGATGTAATACATATGCTCTACGCTGGTCTGCCAACACCAGTAAGTCGCAGTCAGAGGCATGAATTTGCTCATTAGTTTCAGCTCATGTCCACCAGTGAGGCGTATTGAGCACCAGATGGCCACCAACATCGAGTATTGGCATCAACAGTCCGCCAGCGCTGGTGAAAGCCAGCCAATCAACAGGATATTGATTTCAGCCGTTCAATCGTTTTCAGTTGAACTGGCGGCTCAGATATGGATTTGCTCCACCAGATATAGCTACTGAGAAAATATTACAGATGAGTTCAGCTGCATTGTTTATATTTCCTTTTAAAACTGTGGTTTTGGTCCTATTCAGCAAATGGCCACATAACTAGTAATTCCTTCGTGTTGTTAAATGTGCAGAATATCTGGATCATCCAGCCAACTTTGCTGAGTGCGTTTTCAGCTCTGGTCTTTTACTCACTGTGTTGCTGCATAAGCCTCTTAAATAGAATTGAGAAAACACTACACTGTTGGCATTTCGAACAACATTTATTCTGTTTCTGTCAGTAGTTATTGGGAAGGATATGAGCTGAGGTCAGTTGCTCCGTATGAAGTTTTATTTATATTTGACCGTCACATCTTCCCCCAACTTCTGATTCAGTCACAGCAGTGTTTGTGTAGTGCTCACATTCAGGGTCAAAGGTTAAGACTGGTCCATGAAGGAAACCTGAATTAAATCCCTCCTGTCTTGCTCTTTGAAATGTAAGATATTTCAGAGGGCATGCACAAATTCCATGAAAAATCACATTTTTAAATCCTACATTTGTATGTCTGCTCACTGCTTATACAGGGGAATAACTTTTTAGATAGAAGAATAAACACACTGTAGATTTTGAAAAACTTCTTAACTGGGTATCTAGGCTCAGTAGCCAGCATAACATGGACCCCTGCAGGTATCAGCAGTAATATATAATATAATATAATATAATATTAATAAGCAATTCCGTGCACAGGCAACCGAAACCTCAGTCACAATGTAAAATACATCTCAGTCAAAAATAAAATTAATTTGTATATAAAATGAAGTTGCCCATATAGAGTGCCCATGTCATGACCTGATGACGTTAATGTCGCATCAGAGAGAGATGGAGGGAAGAGGCATAAATGTAATGAATGTTATAACGTAAAGGGGGATTTTACACATTAAAAGTCTGTTTTCCCCATTGTGGGACAAATAA